TGGGTGTGTGTATGTATGTAAAGGGAATAAAATGACAATGAAATATTATATGACATCGAAAAACATTAATTTAAGATATTATATTACGAGTTTTAGCAATGTGAACAATAGGAAATTATTAACAAAGTTACGGTTGCAACTTCTTGATTTGAAAATTGAAAAGTGTAGATGGCAGAATGTTCCCAGTCTATAGAATAATAAAATAATAAAATGTGTAACAATAATTATGTAAAAGATGAATATTATTTGTTTCCATGCACTCTTTACGCAAATCTAAGATAATATCCCACATCAGTTTTAATTTTTATACCCAACCATTTACAAGATTTATTTATTACTTTCGAATTCAAAATTAGTTAATAATTCGGGAAAATGTATGTACTTTGTGTTTGAAAAAAGAAATAATTTAAGGTTCTTTAAGCATCAATGAATATGTTAATTATTTTTAGTATTTAGGCCAAATGTTTATGTACGTTAAATAAATAAATTACTCGTCAGTGGAAAGTTTAAATAATATTCAAAAGCATGTATTGTCCACCCTGATTTTATGCTGGCGCCACCTCTGTTTATGAACATGCATATTTACACCAACTATAGCATTATTACTATCATTGAATTATAGCCAGCCTGAACATCACATCACATGTGTATACTAGAATTTTCGTGCGGTACAACGTACAGCACGAAGTATTTGTCTAATTGTTACACGCGGTGAAGCTATTTGAATGTTAGTGCACGTCAAATGCATACCTGTTATTGTCGTATGATAAGAAGAAATGTGGTCATTCTACGCTTGGACTGCGTTCAGTGTGTATGTTTAGTTTTATTTGATGTTATTAGAAGGAAAATGTTATTTTTATGTTAATAAATTATTGGGCCCAAGTTTTTTCCAGAGGGAATTTTTTCCCCCCGAATTATTATGAGAGGTTTTGATCTCTGGTTTTTTTAACCTGGGTTCCGACCGTTGATTGATGTGATTCAAATCAAATGTTACGTCATATTCTAAGTCATCGATGTTTTGATCAACTGTTAATGTTCATTTACGATCTTTTAACTCGCTCACTCCATAGAATAATAAATCCGAGCTATAACAAATCTGTCATTTGTCTTTTTGTTCAATGTGAAGGTTTGTGGAATAGTGTTAAAATTAGACTTAGTAAGATTCGCTAGAATTAATTGTACCATACTACTAAAATAATAACCTCGTGTATTATAATAAAATGATAGTTGTCAATAATTATAATAGGAAAGACAAATGGCAGTGACAACAATATTGATAATGATATTGATACCGATAACAATAGCGATAAAGATGTTTTACATTGAACGTCCATGCAGATCATCTCTTTTATTTCGGTAATAATAATATAGTAATGATAACAAAAATAATGGTTTGTCATAATAACAGTATTTGTAATAATTATAATAATACACACAATAAGTTTATGCTTATTTTTTAAGCGAATGCTCTAAGAGCTCGATTCTGACTGAAAAAGATGTGCTAATTTGCTACACAATACGATTAAGATAAATTGATGATAAATTTTTCCTTTTAACATTTTAATATTATTTAACTAGTTTCTCCTAGATGTTTGATAAAAAATGAATTACAATAATAATTAATAATTTATTTTAACAATAGTAACATAATAAAATCAATTTTAGTAGTTATAACAGTAATAATAAATATTTTTTAAATACTGTATGGAGGTTTGCATGCGAAGTAATAACGTGGTGGATTCATTGGCGCCAACCGGCCGCTCCCCCTCCCCCAAATCCCTCCTAATTTCTTTTAAAACTATAAAATAATTGAATAATAAAAAAAAAAGAAAAGCATATTAAAATTTAGGTCTGAGAATACCATTTTCGGCCATGTAGCGGTACAATAATCATAAATTTGGTGGGGCTGAGTTGATCTTGACTTTCCATCTGTGAAAGTCCCTCCGGGTCCCCTCTTTTTCAAATGTCTGGATCCGCCACTGAAATTATTGATTTTATGTGGTCTATTTATGCACAGTACTTATCTATTTAAACACTCAAGAATCGTTACATACACATTTTCATTTGCTAAAAAGTTACCAGCGACGATGGACTGACGAGGATGTTCCACATCTAAAAAGCTGTGGAAAGAAAACATTAACCTGCTGCTTTCTGTTTGAATAGTGATCGTATACAGCACGATTTTATAACATTTTCATCGTAAAGAAACGGCTATAATATTGAATCAACAATTTAATCGGTGCATGAATTCAAATAAATATTTACAATGGATTTTAGTGGTACATTGTTATCAAATTTTACGACCAATTTTTACATGCATATTATGATTTGTGAGAGACAGTGAGCGTGTGGGTGTGTGTGTGTAGGCCTAGTGACATGCAAAACAAAAATTAGCATTTAGCTTAATATATCGTTTTAGACTGATTAACATGCATTCACATGCTTGGTGATCGAACATTTTGAAACATTCGGATCACATTTGAATTCAGGAAAAGTTAGCGCACGATTAAAATATACTTTCATTGTAATAATATAGCAGTAATTTCCATGCATAATAATATGTCTAGAATTGGCAGAATAATATAGACACTGCAAAGATCGAGTATGCCCTTTTATATATCTTTGTAGGTCTATAATGTGTGTGATTACGCAGTATATAGGCCAAGCCTACTGACTTAGAATATATATATTGCGCACAAACTTCACACTCATGGCCGCCTATAAATAACATTATACGATGCATAAGGAAAGGATATCACATTTTATTCACCAACAAGGATTTCTCGCGGACTCACACTCTAGTATTGAAATACTTTATTTTTAGTTTTCATCGTAATTACTGTAAGTGACCTTACAAAATATACTGGTGACCCTACTTTGAGTCGCGATCCATAGTACGTCTGAATACCGAGGATCTAATTTTATTCGCGCGAATCGAAGGCGTTGGTTCGGTTCCTGAGCTCTGATTGGTTGCACACATTTTTCGCTTCGCAAAAAGTAGAAACTGTTCGAAATACCAATCTCGCTGAAGCGAAAACTTCGATTGAAATTTGAATGCACATGCGCATGAATGACGCATTCGATTTGCTCGAGTGAATTCGCCTAATGGAAAACCGTAATGCACTTGTTTGGAATGATGGTTGGGTAAAGTGCTCGCTTTCAAGTTTCGGGATTCTCGGTTCGAGTCTATAATTTTCTCCATGCAGATATAGCAACAGTTATTTTAATTTGTTAATGAATTAATGGATTTATTATTCTTGAATGACAATGCAATATTTATTATGAAAATACTGTTTAGACAATTTATAGGCAATATATTAAGTTCTATTTTATTGTGTTGTATTAAATTATCATGTCTATTTATAGGATCACAATTGATAATTACTTTCCGTATTATAATAAATGGAAAGTCATCAATAAAAAGTCAAAATGTATTTACTTATCATGTTTACGTAGTTACCAACCGTCTCGCATCGTGAGGGACGGTCCCACATTTTAAAGTGATTTTGGTTGAAACACGCATTTTGTAGAAACACATGCGTGATCATAAATTTGTCATGCAGTTAGCACAGGTCTATGCGTGGTAACGAATTGCCACGAATTCAGGGGAAAATGTATTTAAAATTAGAAGAAATTGATTTTATTAAAAATATAAAAACGGTCATGCAGTAACTTAAGTCATTAGACAGTATTTCATTGTATGGTGTTTATTTAAAAATAAATACAAGAAATATTTAAGTGAATACTTAATTCATTGACGCGTTACTAAAAATTTATCAGTATGCCTATGAGTCATTTTTTGTTTGTTCAAGTAATGGAATGTCTGTGTACATAGTTCAGGTGCTCAAATTAAACATAATGTACTTATTAAAAATACTTATGCCTACTTATTAAAAATATTTTTGTTTATGATGTACCGTACCCGGTATTGTCAAAAACACTCCCTGAAATCGTTTTAAAACAGCTTAAACATGCTCAGATTGTCGGAGCGCCAGGGTCCCTGGACCCCCACTGGGATTCGTCTCTCTACCCCGGAGGGGTTTCGTCTCTCCCACTACCAGCCAACTGGTGTAGTCACATATTTCAAGCTCTCAAGCTTATAAACTATGTTTATAATACGGCGATCCTGTTTTATAAAGGTGTGTCTTAACTATCTTAACTGCATGTGTATAATATAGCACTGATCAACACGAAGATCCGATATTAATTGAATCCAACCGGATGCGATCTCCAACAAACTATGGTATGGTAGGTCTATATGAACCAAATTGCGATTATGAATGTCGGCTGTAAATTAATATGTGCATCTAATGATAAGTAATAATATAATTTTCATCAAAATATTTGATTTAAAAAAATCGAAACTCGTAATTTTAATCGATCGATAAATAATATATTTGTTATAACAATGGATGAAACTAAATTGAAATCCATGTAATATATCATGTGGTATATTAAACATTTATATTGAATACAATTTTCTTTTTACCTCAATTTAAAAACAATTTTTACAAATTTAGGGAGAAGGGGGTGCTTTATTATTCCGCCACTGGATATAATAGGATATACAGTATGTCCTACAATCGATGACAGAGACACATTATGCTGTTATGTATCAACAAAGCCCTTTTGGATCAGGGTGCTGGATCGAGGACCATATGGGTAGGGGTCGCGGCCCTGCGGACTAAGAAGTTAAAAAGATAGAGTGTCCTCCTAGGTGAATAACTAATTATATTTAATACTATTACTACAATAGCTTCATGAATGTTTCTGACTTTAATTATATATTCACATATTTTTTTTAGGTGAAGATAAGGATCTCAAATTGAATATGGTAGGCTTCACTTCAACTCCTGCCGTTAAGGAGCAGAAGGAAACTATTATTCGTGGTTATTCTCTAGGTTCCGACAAATCAGAAAATATCACACTCAGCTTCAATCTACTTTGCAACAATAGCGATGTGCATAAATGTGTTCAACATAAGCGTCGTCCTAAGTTTCGTGAAGCTAAAATTAGTTCCAAAAGCGACGAGTGTACTGTTGACGCCCGAATCGGTGTATTCACTGCGTACGCTGAGAAAGGTGAGCGAAATGGCACCGCTACAATCATAGTTCACCATGCTGATTGTAAGTATTATTTCGTCAGTGTTTTTATCATTATAAATTTAATCAGTTTAAATTAACATCAATAAAATTAATCAACAAAAAATATATCATCAATGCCTTTTTTGTTTTCATCATATTATTTTTGTTATTTATTATTTGTTATTAACCCTATTGTACGGTATTTCACTACTGATATAATAATACAGTACTAATAATACAAATATTATTAATAATAATATTATTATGCTAATGATAATAATAATAATAATAACAAGAGCACTCAGTAGAGGGCATATTTCCGCCCACTACAAATCTCTATTTTTTTATAAAATAAATATCCCTAAATATGTTCCTAAATTACTTCAACCACCACCACTACACCCCAACTAACCTCGCTCCACTCCTCTTCAAAAACACACAGTAACTTGTCCAAACAATTTTTATTTCAAAGAGGGGCACTATTGTCACTTTCAGTCTGGGTTTTTGGGGACTCTCTTTTAGAGTGGGCATTTTTCGATTTTGTAATCCGAAATTATTTTTCCAAAACTTACTGTCGGCCTAGTTTTCACTACACATGTTACTTTCTGAATACAGAATCCAAATAACATACAGTATATATTGTTGAAACATTTTATTTTCAACTACTGACACTGAAAAAATGTGACAACCCACCTACTTTCCAACCACCACCTACTACTTAAACTACTAACCCGGCCAACCAGAAACGTATTTTATTGTATTAGTAGTTACCTGCCAATTCCCTACTTCTTCTGGTTTGGGACACTGGCACGTTTTACTTTAATAAGTGGACCCCCATGCCAAGTATTGGTGTTGAAATAGAAATGATTTTCAATTAGTCAAATTAATAATAAATATGGGGTATTGATTTTTAGCGTCACATGTTTAAATATAAAGATGCATTAAAAATATTCCCAATCAGTTCCCACAAAAATGAAGTTAGTACATACAAAACGCTGTACACATTTACTGTAATTCAATATTCATAAAGTATCTACCTAAGTTATACGGTAAACATATTCTGTAAATGGTCCTCATCAGGGGCAGCACCAGGAATTCCCTGAAGAGAGGTCCAAGCTCTCCAACAAGTGGGTCCACGCCCCCCCCCCCACCCTCAGGGGGCGTGTCTAGGACATCTTCTTTTAAGTGGTCCTCATATCCACAACCTGCTCCAGATCGTCACCACCATTTCTTCATTTGGTCATACCTAACACTCACTGTAACTTTCATTTAGATCTATGAAGCCGTTTTCAAGATATTTGAAACACACACACACACACCCATACCAACTTGAAACGTGACACACACGCACAACCCCCCCCCCCAACGCACACACAACCTTACAAGACCGAAAACATATATCTCCTGGAGGAGATAATAATATTAATAATAATAATAATAATAATAATTATATAAAACTCTAATAATTATATAGTACTACATGAGTTAGAGGCTAATAAGACCTAACATTGCAACTGGAAGAATAATTATAATACAATGATTTAGAAGCAGTGGCTAACCGTAGTGTAAATTGAAGAGCATGCAAGAGGTTAGGGTTATATAAGCAGAGCATTGAGGTCAGGTAGAAATACTCTGAAACTAAAGGGAAACAAATTTCAATTATGAAAGAAAAATTGATCGAACATTCCACTGTGAATCATATGAATACGTCTAGCAAATATTCTTTGCATTGAATATATTATAAAGGCATAGGCCTATAGTAGAAAAGCGAGTTAATATATAATAATTGCTGGAAATTGCATATTAATAAGTTCTATTTACAAGGAAATGGGTATTAATTTTAATTATGCAGTAGGCCTGATGCGTCAAGAGACATCATCAATTAATAATTTGTTAGAGTTTACTTATAATATTTTAGATTTCGTGTAGGCGTTGGAAAGAAATGTTACTTCAATTAGAGATATCATTAAGACGTAGGCTTCCATTTTGGTGTTCTACGTAGCTAAACTATTAGAAATCATCACATGGGTATATTAGGCTCATTATATTTTATCGTTCCTCTGTGGGGAGTGTTGCAATTAGAACATGATTTTTCCCCTTTCACAGAGTTTTTCTTGGTCAATGATTAGGCTTATATTATAATCCTATCCTGTGCGATTAATCGGGCTTCCACCTTAACCCTATTCACATTGTGGCGAACCGTAATATAAATTGAAGGGGAAGCAGGGTTTTTGGGTACCATCGTAGGGTACAAAGATGCGAATGCCCGGAAACTGAAAGAAAAGTTTATAAATGTAGGCCTCTGCAAATTTTATCGCATATTCCATAGTGATCATTTCTTTTTTTTAAATTCATCAGTCCACAATATATACTTTTTCATTAATGTTAGTTTATCCAAACACATGAGATTGACAATGCAGAACAATTGTTTCGGCTTGATAAAGCCTCTTAAATTCTTAAACCATACGTCATTGTGTCGGCAGTGAAACCATAGTGATAATACAACACAAGGCAAATGATACAATAGGTATATGATAATACGTAGCTTATGTATACGCCTGTATACCTGGCAAAGATCCCTTGGAATGGAATAGGCCTATATTTAAAACAATCTGTGTAGAGCATTAAGCCCACTCCTCTGCAGCTTTAGCCGTTTCCACTGTCAAGAAAATCCATGCTCCGCCACTGATATAATTCTTGGAATATATTTACCATATTTATTCGAAATAAAAGCCCCGCTTTGAAAAAAATGTCCCCTTGTAGGGCCTCACTTGCAATAAACGCCTCCCTCAAATAAACGCCCGTCGTTTACTTTTCCTCGAATAAACGCCCCCTCCCCCACTAAATAACTGAAAACTAATGGAATAAACGTCATTCTCAACACATTCTATGTTCTATTTCAGTAGACTTACATTATTTACTTACCTGGTTGGAATCAATGTCTTTCTGATCACGTGGTACACATTATCACTGTAATTATTGAACTTAAGGGGCGTTTATTTGGGTATACGTATCCATTTTACACAAAATGAAATTATACTAAGCGTCTCCCTCAAATAAACGCCCCCAACAAAAACCCTTTATCTACTGTATTTTCAATTTGCAGTTAAAATTTAAAACAGTTAAAACAAATCTATTTTAATCTTAATACGGCCAAAGTGCAGAAAAAAAACCTGTTATCGGCCACAAAACAATATATTAAAAATGAGACATTACAAACAAATTCATATGATCATTTCCAAAGCTCTTTTGTTATTCATAACAACAATAAAATTGCTATTTGTCTAAATTCGAACATTTCTCCATGGCGATAGGTTAACATAGATAAACGGACTCCAGTGCAATTTTAATAAGAAAAAAATGTAGACCAGAATGTCTAAAAAATGTCATATAGATTTAAAGTTTATAAAGTAGGCCTTAAAATCCATGGTATTCAAACCTTTTCATATGATCAGAAGGATAATCCAGCTTCCTCTTGGAAACAGATTCTATTTTGATGAAAAGGTTTTTGACTAAGAATAAACCAGTCACTGTCATTGAACAAGGTGTGCGATCGTGAATACAATATTTGGTATGGTACCGTATTTCGTGGCGTCAGTGAGGGGAGGGGAGGTACGTGGGACCCCCGTCGGGGAAACTGCCATGGCCTACCAAACAGGAAAAAAAACGCAATTCGTCGGGGAGGGAAAAACATTTTTTTTTTATATTAGTAGGCTCTAAAATTGATTAAGTAAGCATTTGAAAGTCTAAATTATCATATTTCTTGTTGCGCTGCCTTGACAACTCTCGACAGATTTTGAGCGACGCCCAACCACGCCCGCTTACACTCTCTTTGGGGACATTGACCCGCCCCCTCCGTCGAGGACATCGGAATCCTCGTCCAGCAAATCCCGGCGCCACCCCTGATTAGATCCAATAATGCAGGCGAACCCATATGTTTTTTTTAGTCACCGAAATGAAAATGCCGTAGTTTGTCATTAGTCCTTGACATATGTTCATTGAAATGCTACAGTAGTAGGCCTAGGGGCCTATACGTAAATAAAACCTCCATGATACAAATTTGTCCTTTGGCTTAGTGGTAAAACATAATGTGCAGGTACAAAATCAAAGTTACTGGAAATCTGATTTTATCTCTGCGACCTTTGACCTTAATTTTTATTTGTTTATTGAAAAAAAATGAAATTGCCAAATCTCTGTAATACTGTGGTCTATTGAAATGATTTACCTAAATTACCTAAAAATCATTTGGGCAAAAATATGAAATCGTCATATCTCTGCAACACTTCGTCTATACGAATTATTGTGGTGTCAAACTCTTCAAAAGATACTTCACTTTGGTGTAGATTGCAATAAAGTGAATTTGAATTTATACTTTTTTATATTTGCTCTAATATAACCTTTTCCATGTAAGCTAATGATTACTGAGAATTTCTTTAAAATCGTGTTTTTGGTTGAATTTTTCAAAATGCCATATATAATTATGTTATTAGGCCTTGACATAGGCCTAGTTATGTTTATTGAGATGTTACAATAGTGAATTAAAATATGCCCTTTGGCATAGTGGTTGCATATGATGTGAGTACAAAATTCACTGAAAATCTTATTTGACCTCTATGACCTTTGACCTCAATTTTTATTTATTTTTTTATTGAAAAAATGAAAATGCCATATTTCTCTAACGCTTTTTTATATTGAAATGATTTTGGTGTCAATTGATTTGCTCTAATACTAATTTTGCCATACAACATACGGTAATGCTTACTGAGAAATGTTTTTGGGCAAATTATATGAAAAGCCATATTTCTGCAAAGTACAGTTTGTTAGACTAGATATTTAGATAATGTATATTGAAACATTGCACTTAATATATTATTAGAAAAATGCAAAATTTACCCATCATTGTCTTCTTCCATAAATCATCATCCTTAATGATGGAGAATAATATGTGATGATAACATATGACAATGGATGGGGACCAAAATGATGGTGATGATAATTGAAAATTACTATGCTGAATGACAATAATGACGGATGATGATGGTGATGGATTATTACGATGATAATGGATTATGCCCATAATTAGCATGGTGATTTCAATGTTGATAAGATGACAATATTGAATGATGATATTCATCATCTTCTTCTTCCATAAATCACCATCAACAATTATCACCATCAACAATTACCATCCTTAATTATCAAAACAAACATCATTCCCCATCATTATAACCATCATCATCCTCCATCACTTTAAACCATCTTTCTGCAAATCATCATCATAATCATTGTTATCATCATCCTCCTCCATCATCTTAAATCATTCGCCTTCATAATCATCATCACAATTATCATCACAGTCATACATAGTCATCATCATTTCCATCCATCATCATCATTAGTGTCAATTTTTATGATCATCAACTTCCTACCGTAAATCATCCTCCATCGTCGACACTTTCATATACTCCATCACTAACATAGTTTTCGTGTAATTTTCTAGAGTCACCTTCATACCTTATCATCATCACCTTATCATCATCATATAATCATCATAGTTATTATCATCATCATCATCCATCATTATTATCCCTATTTATCATTCCACAACATCATAATCTTTTTCGTGTATCATCATCATTGTCACAATCATCCACTACCATCATCCATCAAATCCAATCTATCATCATTCAATGTTGTAACGTTCTATCAACATTAAAATCACCATCATCATTATCGTCATAATTCAGTTATCATCGTAATCCTCCATCACCATCATCTTTCCTAAAATAAAAGTAAATAATACAGTAGAGTATGCTACAGTACGATGATACTGAATTATGCCGATAATGATGATGGTGGTTTTAATGTTGATAGAACGTTACATTGAGTGATGATAGATTGGATTTGATGGATGAAGGTAGTGACAATTATGATGATACACGAAAATGATTATGATGTTGCGGAATGATAATAGGGATAATCTGTCGGTCGTTCAGTCTCCATTAAAGTTTAACATGGTGTTTACTTTCAATGCAATTAGAACCCGTCTTGTTTTAATGCTACCCTGTACATCATCTTGGATTTAGAACTACAGTATTCAATTATTATACAGTCAACAACAAAAAAATAAACTGACCTTAACACTCACGTGTAAAAATCTTGAATAATTTTATTTATATACTGTTTGAAGTATAGCTACCTTACCGGTTGTAATTGTGATTAAAACAAACTCGTATAGAGCGAGAGTTCAGTCAATTAATATTTTGATTGTTGTCATTTATGTTTATTGTCCTACATAGTAATTGTACTCGACTTCACATCGTTACTTAATCTAGGCTTCATTCATGGGGTACTATGAATAATCTTTTTTTCATTCAAAAGCGCTCTATGGAAATATATATATAAAAAAAAATGGAAATATATAAAAATTGAAAATTCAAAGAGCGCTTTTGAATGAAAAAAAGATTATTCATAGTACCCCATGAATGAAGCCTAGATTAAGTAACGATGTGAAGTCGAGTACATTTCCATTTTTTTATATATATTTCCATAAGCGCCACTTCAATTTATCACTCTGTTTTTATAAGCGCCCCATTTGAATAACCCTGTTTGAATAAGCGGCCCTCAAACATTCTTTTAAGCTTTTATTCGCACGAGTACTGTATTTTAATATTCAATGTCAAGACCTAAATATCTGATCTGACAAACTGTACTTTGCAGAAATATGACTTTTCATATATATTTAATTTGCCCAAAAACATTTCTCAGTAAGCATTAGCGTAGGTTGTATGGCAAAATTTGTAATAGATCAAGTTACAGAGATTTTTTTTTTTTAAATAAACATTGAGGTCAAAGTTTACAGAGGTCAAACCATTTTTCCAGTAACTTGGATTTGTACCCCCACAATGTGTTCTACCACGATGCCAAAGATCACTACTGTAACATCTCAATATACATGTCAATGCATAATAATTAACTGTAATTTTCAGAAATATGGAATTTTCTTTGCCCAAAAACAAGATTTTGAAAATATTCTCAGTAAGCTCTATTTTTCATGGAAAATGTTGTATTAAAGCAAATATAATGTGTGTATTATGAACAATTTGGCACAAAAATAATTTCAAAAGACCAAAGTATTAAAGATACATTGCAATTTCACATTTATTTTCAATAAAAAACATAGAAATTGAGGTCAAAGCTCACAGAGGTCAAATCATATTTCCAGTAACTTTGATTTTGTACCCCCCACAATGTGTTGTACCACTATGCCAAAGTACACTACTGTAACACCTTAATAAACATATGTCATGGCCTAATAATGAACTGTATTTTTCAGAAATATGGGTTTTACCTATATTTGCCCAAAAGCCTGATTTTAAAGAAATTCTCAGTATTAATTCCATGGAAAAAATCTGTATTAGAGCAAATATAATTGGATGTCTTCTGAAAAATTTGACATCAAAATAATTTCTATAGACCTAAGCGTTCAAAGATATGACCATAATGATAATTTTACCCAAAAACATGATTTTTATTAAAAAAAAAAAATTAAAAAAAAAAAGTCACGATAAGCATTGGTTTCATGCAAAATGTTGTATTAGGGCAAATATAAATGTATTTTCTCAGCGATTTGGCACGAAAATTACCTCAATAGACTAAAGCATTACAGAGATATGGCAATCTCATGTTTTTTCAATATAAATATTAAAATTGAGGTCAATGGTCACAGAGGTTACATCAGATTTCCCGTAACTTGGTGTTGGTATTCCACATCATTCCCCATCATTATAACCATCATCATCCTCCATCATTTTAAACCATCCTTCTGCAAATCATCATCATAATCATTGTTATCATCATCCTCCTCCATCATCTTAAATCATTCGCCTTCATAATCATCATCACAATCATCATCACAGTCATACATAGTCATCATCATTTCCATCCATCATCATCATTAGTGTCAATTTTTATGATCATCAACTTCCTACCGTAAATCATCCTCCATCGTCGACACTTTCATATACTCCATCACTAACATAGTTTTCGTGTAATTTTCTATAATCACCTTTATACCTTATCATCATCACCTTATCATCATCATATAATCATCATAGTTATTATCATCATCATCATCCATCATTATTATCCCTATTATCATTCCACAACATCATAATCTTTTTCGTGTATCATCATCATTGTCACAATCATCCACTACCATCATCCATCAAATCCAATCTATCATCAAAAATCTGTATTAGACTAAAGCATTACACAGATATGGCAATCTCATGTTTTTTCAATATAAATATTAAAATTGAGGTCAAAGGTCACAGAGGTTACATCAGATTTCCCGTAACTTGGTGTTGGTATTCCACATCAGGGCCTATCACCACGGAGAAGGGCGAATTTGTATCCACTTGTGTAACAAATCCATTTTTGTATGCTTGGTACTGGACTATCGGTGTTGTGGTAGGCCTACAACAAGGAGAGCACATCACTTGTATAATTTAGGCAAAATAATGTTCATTATTACAATTGTTTACATACTTCTTAAATTATTTTTGACAACAATATAACACCTCACCAGGATTGTATTTCATATATATGTGTGCCAATGTATGGAAACCCGGAAGGGTCCCGGTGGAGTTTTTCTTCTTGTTATGTTTCAAATAATATTTTTCATTGCATTATTTCTCTTTGCTTATTCTCACACATCCATGACAAAGACACCTAAATACCCCTCCTTCCCCCAACACACATCGACCCACACCTACACAAATATAGTTATACATGTTTTGATCGAAACCAATTTAATTGTAGAAGGCTTCTATCAAATGATAAGAAACAACCCATATACATTGATTTTTATTTTCGAAGCCTATGTAGAACCGATTGTTCGCACCAAGACTGTTAGTACAGGTGATAGTAACGTTACATTGGGCGTCAAAAACGTTAACGGAAATAATAATATATTACGATGGGCGAAGGACGGAATAGACTGTGATTGGAATGGTTTGACGGAGATTAAATTCGACACGATTACCGAGGCTCATGCTGGGATTTATGAATGCTTTCAAGATGACAAACGGGAAGAACGAAAACACGCTTTTATGCAGCTGATTGTAAGAGGTAGGTTTTATCGTTGATGTAGGCCTAATCCACATGGCCATTACTTTACAGTACGGTAATTTTTATTTCCTAGTCAAAAGTCAACTGTTCTTCCTCTCTTCGCAACTCACGACACTCGTCCTGTCTTCCCATTTATTCCCTGTCGCATGTCCTGTTTTTCTTGGCCCTTATGTTTGGGTCTCTATACATTCCATCTTTTTCGGAGCGGATCCAGAATTTTTTGTTGGGAGTGGGTTGGAAGAGAGGGTCGAGGTGCTTGTGTCAAACCTACCTCAACCCCAACATGGTAGGGTGAGGTACAAGGTTTTTGCGAATGACACAATTTAAGATTAATGGCACCTCTCTATACATCTGGAAGACCTACTTCTGTCCCTGCTCCGCAGTACATTCGTATTGGTAGCATACAAAAGCCTGGTTCTCACGAGAGCCCTAGTATCCGGATCGGGAGCTAACCGTTAGCAACTGCGTGAGAACGCCCGATCGGGAACTTGCTTAAAGATAGCAAGCACTATCGGTAAGCAAGTTGCAGGCGCTGTCTCTTATACACATCTAGATGTGTATAAGAGACAGCCCGTCCCTGGTGAGTTTATTGAGTATTCTTCTTTTATCTTTGGCATTCTACTAAAATATATTGTCTAACAATTGTAACATCTACTTAATAATATTCATTTATTATTAACATTGTATTTAGCAGGGTTGATTTGTGTTTCAGAATGTCCACATAACAAGTGGTCTCCGCCTAAATGCAACATGAGCTGCGAGGTGTGCTACAATGGAGGGGTATGTGATACATACATCGGAACCTGTATTTGCCCTTCGGGATTTATTGGAACTAATTGCACAATACGTGAGTAAAGGAATTAATACAACATACTTAAATTGTATTATCTATTTGAATAGTGATTTATACAGGACTTACAGAAAAAAAAAACAACAAACCTGTGTTTAGTAAACATCCGGAACTATATAAATATATTTGACATAATTCTTTATATTGTTTAGGCGGGACTGTTTTTTTATACCTTGTTTAGCGAACCCGCCGAACGTAAATTTTAATGATTTCGAATAAAATTAAAATATTAGCGCACCCGCACGTCACAAAAAATTGAAATTTCAGGAAAAAATTAAAGTTTTTTTCTTAATTTTTACTACGCTCTCAGCTGCCTTGAAATCTCTCAAGATAAAATGTGTATATTTCTTCCTAATTATATGCCCTATAAATTTAAGCATTTAACCATCCCATTTTACATTCACCAATACAATTTCATTTTTATTTTCTCCTCTGTCTGGATGTATTTTGGCAAAACTATTTGCTAAATAAGAAATTATTTTTATTTTTATTCCGCCCTTCTCCGATGATCTTTAAAAAATAAGCACGCGAAACAAGGAATAAAAAAAAGTCTCGCCTTAACGATGCAGTAATAACATAAAAAATGATTTAATGATTATGTGAATTATTTTGTTAGTAAGCATTTTTCAGTATACAGTACGCCATCAATAAACCAGCAATATACAGTAATATTGTCACCAATTATCAGATGCATAAATTATACCGTTCTAATATTCATTGTATAGCCTATCCACATGCCAAAATAATATACTATTCCAATATCACTATAACCATCACCATCACATTAAATGAACATTACTATCACTGATTCATCACATTAACCATAAACACTACCATAACCATCATCACTATCAAGTATCACCACCAATAAACATGAACATCACCATTACAACCATAAACAATATTGATATCTTCATTATCACTATCGTTGTTATCATTATCATGATTTTACAATTAAATCAAAAAATATATCAATATCATTAATATAGATATTGTCATTATAATGATTATAATCATCATCATTAATAATACATATTTGTTATTTTTAATATTATTATTATTATTATTATTATTAGCAATATTATTATCATGATTTTTGTAACAATTTTATGAAGGAAAAAAAAATCAAGTATTTTCTGCGGTTTCAGATTACCGTTTTTCTCCGGCATGAAAGTATTTAAAAAACTCTTTTTAAGTTTGGTTTGCACGGTAAATTTTGTATTTTGGTTTACAGCTACTGGTGGTAATATGTTTGGACGTGACGGTGGAACCCCGTGCAGGACGGGTAATAGTGAGGGATGCAAAGGGAAACTGATTTGTCCACCAATGCCGCAGGGTTGTGCCTGCCACGCTGGCTGGGAAGGACTTAAATGTGAAAGTAGTAAGCTTGCAACGGTTTGAAAATTTACAAATTCTTCCTTCAATTTAAACTGACAGTTCTCAATAATCGTTTATGGTAAATTTAGAGATAACATAACATATGTAAAATATATTTTTTCCTGAAGTTAAACAATTAACATAACCAACTAAAAAGATAACTTAAAAATTGTGTAACTGTATATTTTCAAATAATATAGAGTACAAACTTTCACAACAATTGTTAAATTAATATAATAACATTAATATTATTTCATTCTATAACTTGGTAAATATTCACGTGCACGTCATTAATATATCAATCTATTACCAATATAAATAATGTAATGGTCTGACAGTCTACAAAATGTCAGTTAGTTCGACTGTAATTACTGATGTCACTTACAACAAAAAATAATTATAAAGCAAAAAAGCCATCGTATATATATTTATAACGTTTATAATGCAGTTTTATTTCTTAAAATTTATTTATGATAATAACATAATAATAATAAATATAATATTATTATTAATAATAATAACAACAATAATAATAATAATAATAATAATAATAATAATAATAATAATAATAATAATAATAATAATAATAATAATAATAATAATAATAATAATAATAATAATAATGCAAAAAATAGCCTCAATTGTTTTATCGTTTCTATAAAGAATGTGAACTTGGCAAGTATGGCGCTGACTGTCTACAAGATTGTCATTGTGACAATGATAAGTGTGATCATTCCAGAGGCTGTAAGTTGAACGCAACATGCCACCCTGACTACAATGGCACACGTTGTTTAGGTAAAGAACATTTCAATATTACTATATTAGAAGAATTTTATAAGATTAGTAGTTTATCTTGAAATGTGCGACATAGGCCTGTAACGTAACAGACAGCGTTTGTAGTAATAGTAAATAATGTCAAAAGTTATGAATTTGAGTTACCAGCTTTCAACGATTGCTAACAGTTTCCCGTCATGTATAAACACATTCACCAACCAGTGGTGGCATCATGGTTGTTTCGACGGTAGAGAGTAGAAACTGCTTTCCAACAGTTGGGTCTGACAGAGACCAACGAGTTTTAGTATACGGTAAAAATGGCCCCTAAAAATGGCTAAAGAATGACTCCGGTAAAAATGGCCCGGTCAAAAAGGCCACAAATGACAGGTAGCTATAAATGGCGACTAATGATAAAATTTGATAATAAAACTAATTTGAAAAAATATTTATACTATATAATACTGCAAAGTAGCAAAACTTTAATCAATAAAACAACATAAATCATGCATTTTTAACAACTAAAATAATTTAGTTTATTAAAATATTTGCCATTTATATTACTTAAATTTAAATTTAAATTTAAAAAAGTAATAAAATAGTCCATAGATTGAAAAAAATAAGTAATAAATAACATTTTGTTAAATTGCAACTTTTACATTTAAAATTCAGTAATTTCAATCGTTTGTTTTTTAAAATAATATAGTAATCAATCAGTCATCTGTTATTATTTCAAATGAAATAATTTAATCAATTATAATTTGTGTTTTTTTAAACAAATTGTTTTTTAAAGACGCTAAATAGATAAATAATGTTAATCTAAAAGTACTGACGTTTGTATTAATATTCCCTATTTAATATTTAAGTTTTTCTTGTGATAAGATCGAAATAACAACAATCATAGCCTAAGAGCGTTTTTCACGTTTTTATTTCAATAACGAGTGATAGAACGAGCAGCATTGAAACCACTCATACCTGACGTCAAACTAGTTTTGGGACTATAATTAGTAAATAGCTCCATGATAATTATGTTTGTAAATGTACCATTCAATCGCGTTCAATGTTGGTAATTGTGATGAAAAACCATTTAGGTAAGTCTAACCTCTTCTTTTTTTAGCAGCGCCTTAAGTTAAATATAATTACTGGAGTCTTATTCCAAACACTTATTCTCTCTTAAAGTTTTTTCTTGTGATAAAAATCGTAATAACATAAATCTAGTCTAAAAGCTTTCCACGTTTATTTTAACTATCTTTCATAATAATATTTCTTCTTATAAAGTTTTTTATTGTGATAAAATCCAAATAATATAAATCATATTCTAAAATAAATAATTGTATTCTAAGCACTGATGTACATAATAATATTTTCCTAATGTGCAAGTTTTATTTGTAATAAGATCGAACTAAAATATATCATAAATGTTTTCCACATTTATATTTCAGTACCAAATCCCAACGGATTGTCGAGTGATAGAACTACAAGATTGGAAACATCTCATGGTAATGTATATTGGTAATGTATTTGTCAAATTAACATGGACCTATAATACTATTATAGCTCTATGGTAGTTTGAATTTGTGTGTCAGCCAATCGCGAACCCTTTCTCGGTGATAATGATGAAGAATGGTTTAGGTCAGTTAATTTAAGTCTAACCGCTTCTATTTTTTACAGCATCATAGGTTAGTATAATACACTTGAATTTTTTAACGGGCAAAGAAGTTTTTGGAGATTTTTCAGATTGCAAAAGACGAGAATAATTCCAAGACGGACATCCTGAATCATCCACGAATAATCATTGGACCACTGGCTTCCAACATAGTCTTCAAGAAGACAGGCTATTCTTGTACGATGGCATACTGGAGAACATGTTGAATGCATCCAATCTTGATAACGACTAGACGAACAGAAAGAATACGTCGGGAATAATCATATTCAAAGATGTAATAACCTTTCGAATAATTTCACAATTGCTTGCTATGAGAAAATAGTTAATGTTAAGATATTTGTTATTACGACCTAACAAAAATCATTATCGAGCAAAAATGGCTTTAAATAAGATGGCAATGGCATATCCAAGGACGTTTATAGATTAAGGGATTAGACGACCTCAGCCTCAATCTAAGAAAATTTATGATTTGAAACCACTACAAATAGCACTCACAAACATTTTAGCCATTTTTTTTTATTTAAAGGGGGCCCGGGCCGACTGCCCACCTTAATCCACCACTGGTCCCTACCCTTTGCATTTGTTTTCTTTTTTGTATTCACTAGCAACTTTTCTCCAACTCCCTTGGTGAGAGCTCTTCCCCTGTAGATTCCGACTCCCAATTTCAAAGCACTACAGCATTAAAATGTGAGCGTTCAACAATTAAACAGTTGATTACTAGAAAATTCATCTTCTATGCAAAAGAATAGAGGAAAGTTATAATTCAAATGTCCGTTTATTTACTGGAAATTCTTTTTCACATCAACATTTTAAATAGTATTCAACCAAATTCATTTACAGTATATTCATTTGCCTAACTTTATTTTTCAGGTATTATATCCAGTATATTGCGCATGAATGGACTATAAGTGCAGATGGCATATTTCACAACTCCCTAAAGTTCATATAGGCCTACATTAATAACGTTTGTAACTTTTGAGTAATTGAACAATGGCATTAGCATCAATCTCAATTTCCTCGCACAATCATGGATATAATATTAACTTTACATTATATAGATATTGGACTGGTTTTGATTTTATTGTTGTGAATAAACCAAGAAAAACCCACGAAATTATGATGACAGCGGGTTCTTCCGATGGTGAATCGGCAGTCACCGAGAGACAGTTCCTTGGTTTTTCCGAAGAGTGTGTACAGTACATCGTTTTTTAACGTGCACATGGGTTATAATAATGGACGGTTTAAACGTCTCAACCGAAATAAGGTGCACTAATGAAACTTGCGTTTCAGCCCTTCCGTACAAATAAGGATTACAGCGGATGATTTTTAACCGGACCAAGATTACCTAAAGATGGCAGTAAAACAGAATAATTTGCAAAAACAATGTTAAACAAAGCAAATTTTAGCTTAAATGCAGTGTACATGCTTATTTAAATATATATTCTATTAGTACATAAGTTTATTAGTTGATACTGCCATAATAAAATATAGAGAACAATAATTATATAATTGTTATTATAATTGTTACATTATTGTTATTATTATTATTATTATTATTATTATTATTATTACTATTATTATTATTATTATTTATTTATTTTTATTATTATTTATTTTTATTTTATAATCATTTTCTAATGAACTCATAATACATCTATTGATATTATGTACATCTGTATCATGTTTATAGCCGGTCATGAGTCTGAAAGTTATGCTATCTTCATGGCATTTTCATGTTATTTGACTAACGCGAATAGACGCAGAAAAAACCCGTGCTTCTTAATTTTTTTTTTTTTTTTTTTTTTTTGGAGGTGCTTCTTTTTGAGATGGACTTCTTTTCGAGTTGGTCTTCTTTTCGAGGCTACTTTTGCTACTTGCTACTTTTTTTTTTTTTTTTTTTACTGGATCACTGTATATCAGTCTGTCTCATGAAGTGTATACTGGCATTGAACCACCTAACCTACTATGTAAACCAAGCGTGTTTTTAATTTCTGTTTCTTTAAAACTTATTTACAGTTTATGTACTGTATTCTCTTTTGAAAAGAGACCCATGCTACCTTATAATGTGGCCATGGATTTCTTTTCGAAATGGTCTACTTTTCAAGGCTACTTTAGCAAACTAAAGAGGGGACTTCAATTCAAGATGGGCTTCTGCATCAAAAAAAAAACAATCAATCAATTAAGAGACCTGTTGTGATTTGCTTTTTAAGAAGAGACTTTTTCACAGTTTAAGTGTGATTTTCTCTCTTTAGTAGTAAGATAATGATTGTAGAGTTTTGATAACTTTAAGTGTATCATATTTGAGCAATGCTTAACCCCAAAATCATCGATAAAAATAATCTATTAATCATTATTTGTTGAATGATAATATTATTGACCACAAGAGATTTTTATATTTCTGGGAACCGTCAATGGTATATTTTTTGGAAGTGTTTACTATTGTATAACAGTTATACGATTAGATTGTATATTATACATTTTTATTGTAAATCATAATAATAATTGATGACCGATAACATATTCTGAATAATTATAATATTGTAAATTTAAATAATAATTTTAGATTTTTTATTTTTAAATTGTGTCAATTTGTTTTTTATTTTTATAAATTTTTTTAGTTATTTAAAATAATTAAAGTTGCTGTTTATCTTCATTTAAAGTTTAACCATTTCATTTTGATTTTTTTTTTCTTTCTTTTTTTTTTTACGATTTTTCATTGTTGGTATTTTGTGTGTGTTTTTTTTTTTTA